CCGCCACCACACACACACACACACACACACACACACACACACACACACACACACAGGCAACCACTCCCCCCCAAAAAGAACATTAACAGCCTTTTCCTACATGGCACTGCTGCTTAATGCTGTTGTAAACTCCCACATGGTCTATAAACTTGGATTTTACAACTAGCATTCCATTTTAGCTCGCGAAAACTTTGAACTAGGCCTCCAGTTTCATTGTGTTGGAGTTGAGCTGAAGACATGGAAGGGGAGGGGGGAAAAATCCCTGGGCAAGACACCCTTATTTGTTTACTATTTACTGCGGAAGTCTTTTCCTATGGCCAGACGGGGTAATTAAGAAAAATTAAGCTGTTTAGTGCTGCAGTCTTTATTACAATGTCTAGACTACTAGCTTTTGTCCGGACAGTGGCTGCTGTTACGGAGCATTAACTGCGGTTTCTGACCTCGTGATAAGCACCCTATTGCACCTATGCTTAGTTTTCCTAACCTTGGAAAGGTTTGGCAAACAATCGTTAAAGAAAGGTGGGTTTACATGAATAATATTCCCTTTTCTTTGGCAGCTCTTCGACTGTATCAATGAGTGGCTGCATCTGCTAGGAGCATGACTTTGGTCTCCATCCTAGTTCAAAGCTCTTTCATATTTTATTCACTATTCTATCAAGGAATTGTCTACCAAAGAAAGGGCCAGGTTTTGGATTTCCAAAGGGCTGGCATGGGTTTAGGCCACGGGGATACCTCCTTAAACATTTCCACGTTTTAAGCATAAATTCAAAAAAGCTCTTTGCCATCTTTTTTTTTTTACCATCTCATTTAATGAGAAACATGTCTAAGAACATCACCCGTTCAAATTATACCATGGCGTAACGAGGATGGGTCTATCACGAAAACAAAAGTTGTTTCTCATTTATTCTTTTTGTGTGTGTGCAAGCGAAGCACATTTTTGTGGCTTGCAATTTCCCCTACCGCTGTCACATAAAATCAGAAGCCACCATCAAAGTATGGGGCTGTATTTAAAAGCAATTATGAGAATTTTACAAGAACACTGTCAATGTATGGGAATATAATGTGTTGTTTCTTTGCTGATGTTCTTTTGTTCTTTCTTCCTTTTTCTTTTTTCTTCTCCCCCCACTCCTACCCATACAAAACTCCACATCAAGAGATATGAGAATTCAGGTTGAAAAGCAACAAAACAAAACAACCCCCCCCCCCGAATTATTCTATATACACAACATACATGCATCAAACCACTGACGGCGTTTTCTGTACTTCTTTTTCCTTTAAACCAAATTGTGTCTCTTTAGTCCGCTCAGGAGAGGGAAAGGCATTGTGTGAACATAAAAATGCACTTCTGTACCAGAAGTCTGGGAGTTGAACTTGTTTTCCTTAACCAGGAATTTAAGTACTTGACTTTGCATTTGTGCTTTGTACGTATAAGGTAGTTTATATTTGACTTTATGGAAATAGAGCACCTTCCTTTGTGTAATTAGAGTTGCACTCACTTACAAAAGTCAAATAAATGGTGCAAAAGATTAATTACATCCGGAAAAACAGAGCAAGACACATGGAACCAAATACACAGTTGTATTATTGGGCCAAGAAATTCCAATAAAAATTTAAATTCGATGAGGAATACAATGAACCCCACAACAAATGTAAACTTTAACGTAGAGGAGTTATATGAATTTGGACAATGCCACATTGCACTGAGCCAGATGACCATGGATGATTATATATGGTGATAGTATCAAATATACATATTTGATGTCATTACCATTTAGGTATTAAAAGTTCTATTGGGAAGTCCATACCGCATTGACCGCAATGAGGTTTAAAGAGGGGAAGTACTAATAAAATGGTCAAATAAAATCATAATGTAGAACAGCTTGCAATATCTTTATTTACCACAGAATTTCACAGAGTTTCCCGGGAATTCACTTTACATAGACAAAGATCTTTTATTATTGTTGTTGTTTGTTGTTATTGTTCTTCTAGATCCGGGAAAAAAATGCATTACGAAATGTATTTACAAACCACTTAGAGACAGTTATTGCAAATATATTCTTGTCCATACACCCCTCCCTCCCCCCAACCCCCCAAAAATGTAAAAGTGGGACTGCATAGAATATATATATATCCTATATATATATATATCCTATATAGATTGTATTGAAAATGAACCCATTCTTGCTGCAACGGAAGAGAATATTTAAATTAGGTTTCGACAACAGTTCTTGGCATGGATAGCAGGAGAACACAAATGATCGGTGTGAATACGCACAGTCCTATGTATATGTGTGCATGCACACACACACACACACACACACACACACACACACACACACATTCCCTCCCAAATCAAGGTATCTGAATTAACCATAGAGGGAGGTTTTGGCCGCGTCTGTGATAGCACATGTTAACTGCATATTGAAATCATCACCATGATAATTATAACACAGCACTGCGATTTATTCAAATAGACAAGGATGACTAAATGAAAAAAAAATCCCAGTTGTTCAGACAAAACGTTAAATAAAAAGTCCATGGTTTTCAAGTCCTTTAAACGTTTAGATATCTGAACTCCTTGCGTTACTTAGAACTGTCCCATACATACAAATATAAGTAACGAAAAGGCTTAAACTTTGAGGTTGCTTGTAGACTCAGACCACAACCCATGCTTTCAGAGTTCCTTCTTAATACAGATCTACTTCACCAGCAGAGAGGATTGGAAAAAGATGTGTTCACAATAAGGGATTTCCAGAAAAATACTGCAGGCGGTCTCTGCTTAATTTTTTTTCTTTCATTCTTCTGTTCTGAAACCAAATTTTAACCTGTCGATCAGTGAGATTTAGCATCCTAGACAACTGAAGCCTTTTTTCTTTGTTTATATAGACATTGAAGAAAAATTCTCTCTCTAGCTCTCTGATCTGGAATTTCGAATAGGGACATCTCTTCTTTCTTGTACGGGGAGCACCTTAAAAAAAACAGAAGGGAATGTAAATACTAAGCAAATGCAACACATAGACTCATCTCTAGATCTGACTCCATATATATGGATATACATATTTATACATATACATATTTATAGATGCATGGGATAATATATTTCGCCACTGTTATATTTGCCCATTGTTAGTATAATGCAGAGGTGAGGTTATATATGGTTTTAAGGATTGTGTCCTAGTTATGTTCTAAATACACTACCTCTGCACAGGATTTTGTGATAGACATATTTTTAAGCAGAGTTGGGGGTTGTAGGCAGCAATTAATTTAAGCAGGCTTTAAAGAAACTGTAGCTGTTGAAAAACATACGTTCAAGCTGCAAATCTGTTATTTGTATAGAAACAGCATGAGCAATGTTGGAACTGTTGGAACTAGACATTATGTTCCGCATAAGTTTTTGATTAACTTCAGTACCAGCATCCACACACACCAAAATAATCAAAGTAAAATAGAATTTAGCCTCTGAGCAAGAAAAGGGATGCATTGTTTTCATCATGAAACCAAATAGCAAAAGGGGAGAGAGAAAAAAATCTCACCGTGATCGCTAAGTTTAAAAGTTGCTTGGCTTCAGAATTTAAAATACGCCTCTAAGTTTTCTTAGAAATGTAGTGATTTTTTTTATCTGACCTTAATGACAAAAGACAGAAATTCCACTAGGCTTTGCGAAGAATCAATGCAATTAAAAAATAAATAAAATAGAGACTAAGGATTTAATTAAAATGTTGCACATTTTGCATTTAGCTCCACACCCCCTTAACAAAAGAGAGAGAGAAAAGAAAGACCCAGCATATACTTTTAATTTAAAAAAAATCACTCTACATGCATCTTAGTGCCTAAAAGCAAGCACAGGAAGCTACAGCAGTGTTCTGCCCAATTGGCTTTTACCCTCAGCAACCCGGGACCAAATCCTTTTAAAATGCTCATGTAAGTTCATGATCAAAGTTAATATTTGCCACGATGGTGTGCTTTCAAAATTTCACAGACTCTAAGCTACTGTGTCTGCGCCTAACATCTCCATTTTTTCAAAGAGCTTTCCCATCGTAAAAATTCTTCTCGTTGGAAGAAAGAGTTTTGTAGGTTATAATAAAATCCTTTGAATGCTTATAAAACTCCACATAAAATTTGACCGACAAAACACCGGGCTAGTCCCTTAACCTTTCCATTTACTGCTCTACCTACTCGAGTTGCTGTTTTTGCTTCCTTCCTTGTTGACAGAAGAAGACGAGGCTGAAGACCCTGGATTTGTGTTTTCCTCTTCGTCTTCCGGGTCTATGCCTTGCTCTCCGCGGGATGATAGTGCACTGGGCTGGGAGTCGGATTCCAGTTTGCTCTCGCTTTTCTGCAGACAGTTCTCAGGCGGGTTCTCTGTCCCGCAGTAGGCATTTTCGAAGAACCGATCAAAGCCCTGGGGCAGGACACTGTTTTTGTTCATGCTGGAGTAGAATCCCGTAGATGCAGGATGGTTAGAGCTGGGATGGTGGTGGCTGTACACGCTTTCGTTTTTCATTAGCATTTCGGTCATGGTGGAAGGCGGGATACACTCTCTATGCATCAGATCTTCCGCGGAATAACACGAGGCGTAATTGCTTCTATGGTGCCATTTACTAGAGGGGTCTAGACCATAGGAGACCTCTCGAACTGGCTGCACTTGCGAGAGGTTAGTGGAATAAGGGTAGGAGATTTGGCGAGAGGGGGCCTGTGGCAAGAAAGATGACACAGTTGAAAATTCTGGGACGTAATAGGTGCAGCTAGGGAGGTAGAGATTGGAAGCGCAACCTGCTCTGTCTCCAAAGTCAGCACTCCTCTCTTTACGCGATTGAGAGCAGAAGTTTCCTAGATTCACTGAGTTAAACATCTTTCTCCTTTTCTTGCTCTATAGATAGATGTTTTGGATCCGATGTGCAGAGGGGGAAAAATTTGGGAAGGCGAGATGACGCGCTATCCGTCTTAGTCGCTCTAAGGAACACGTGATCCAAAGTAGATATTGTCATATATCAGTTTGGAGCACTTAGATGTGTAGGAGTGGTTCACTTAGGTAAGATCTCAGAGGTTCAAACGATTGGTTTTCAAACACCGCAGAAACATTATGAAAATCAATTGCAGCTTTGTATTCATTTTCTTTAAGGCACACCCCTTGTAAGCATTCAAAGCAGAGGGCAAATACAAGGGATGGCTTGTGAAGTTTTTTTTTTTCCTTCCCGGTTTGGATTCTGCTTTCTATTTTTCACGAGGATTCGGATATGGGGTGGGGGCGTTGGGAGGGAGTGGGAGCTGAGGGAGGGTCTTAGAGATATTTTAACTGTATTTTTCCACGGTTTTTTTTCTTTTCTTTTCTTTCCATGCTAGTCACATTTTAGATGTGACAATGTAAAGTCTTTAAGTAAGCTCAATAAAAAGCCCAGGGAATGCGCTGAAGATTCATAAGTAAGTTTTCAAACATTTCTCAAAATCTTGCTACAGTGGGGCATACACATATCTCTGTGCCATAGGGCTTTTAAAATTATAGTTGAATATATAATTTGGGAGGGAAGGGGGGAAGTGGCTAATTAGCAAGCTTCTAACATTAGCTAATTACATTGTTCTATCTATGTGCATACCAACTGTACATAAACCAACGTGGCATATACTGCAGAGAATATACCCTTTAAGCAATACCAGTGTGTGTAAAGTTTCAAACTTTAAAGTTACCTGAGACTAAAACTGAGCCATTTCAAGGCTGACTTAATGACTTTTGATATCGAATTAGTAATATATCAGGGAATAGAGCAAATGAATTAAGTCAGTGCCTAATAAATATTCGAAAACCTCCTTTAATGTTTTGTTAAATATTTATTATGTAAGAGTGGCATATTAAATATTTAATGCAAGTGTTTATTGTCAATCAATGAATGTAAGTACAGAATTACTAGCATCCTTTATTCCTCCAACTGAATTAAAAAAGAGAGATTCTTATTAAAGTCATTTGTCTTGAATTTTGTGCCCCAAGAGCTTCATGCTTGTCTATATTTTCCAGTGTTTTGAAATGGAATAAATATTTGTGCTATAAAGTGCTATCAGACATTTTGCGAGTTTTTCAACCAATTGTCTGTCTAAATGTTCTTCTTTAAATAATATGGAAAGGGATACCTGTAGGACTTACAGAGAATATTGAGTGATACTGTGGGTTGCTAATATTTCCAAGATGTATCTTGCATATCTTGTCTACTTAAAACTCTTCTAGCACCAAACTATCCTGTGACCACTACTCTGATTGTGCACTACTCGTTCTTTTCACCTAGGTTGCAAATAATTTGTCTGGGGACTGCAATGAAAAATTATGTTAATCGTATTTCTATTTCAAATGCAGAAATGTTTGTGTTTTCCACTATCTGTGAAAATAATGCAGTCCCTTGTGTCACCCCTCCCCTTCTTTTAATTACAGGACACCACCTGGTTAATTTTCTTTATTTCCTCTTTTGCTATTGTTCAGTTAAAGGAAGAATAAATAAAAATTCAGCTGTTTACATAGAGGTCCCCCTCCCCCAACTAAACTCCATCGTGGGATCTCTTTGGAGACAGGTTAAATACCTCCTAACAAAACTAATACACCATCACAGAGTAAAATGTCTTTATTAGTGATATCTTGTCAAAGAGTGTTGCAGTAAATTGGAACAACAACAAGAAATAACCAAAGCAGAGACACATGAGCTATCAGTAAACAATATTGTTAGGAAGGAGAAGAGTAGACATGATTTTTCTGCGTGTTTTTGTTTTGCTAAGCATTTCATCTTGAAAACTATCAACAACTCCATCCAAGTAATAATAAATTACAACACAAGAAACGCAAGATATAAATTGTACAGCTCGGAGTCATTTAATCCATTTAATATTTTTATTCTCAATTTTCATTTTCGCTGGTCTAATTTTTTTCTTTCCATTTTAGTCAGCAGGTAGGTTCATTTCGACGCAATATTAACAGAAAGTGAAAAGACCAAGTACTTCTTCCACCAGCTCCTAGAAGGAAGCGGACGCTGATAAAAAAAAACAATACTAGAAAAGCATAATGACATTAATAAGCAACATGCTTTTGAAAATTCATTTTAATTACAGGAAATAGATTGGTAGGTCTGTGTCTTGCAGCGGGGCTAAGATCTGAGCACTTAAGAAACAAAGAAAAAATACATTGGGCACTGCAGTGTAGCTTTCAAAACTATAGCACATTGCAATATGTCTCGATTTCAGTTGCTGTATTATGGATCCCTTGATGGCTTCTTATGCTAAGAATACATACTCTTCCTTATTTAAACAATGTTGCCAGTCATAATGCAACAGAGCCTTTTTTTTACACATATTTGAATTTTTCTCAAGGTTGGTGTTTTTCTATCCAAAAATCTTCAAAAAACTCTTTTTATAAGTGATCTCGGGATGTGTGTATATATATATATATATATATATATATATATATATATATATATATATATATATATATATATATATATATATATATATATATATATATATATATATATATATTATTATTATTA